CCTGTGTTTTCAGCAGCGCATCGTAACAAATCAAATAAAAAGGCCACCATCTTTGCTACTAACCCGATTCAGCCTCTGAAAATTTGCACACTGGATATTTTGCGGGGGATATTTTTGGAGTTAAAAAATATCATATTTACTCAGCGAGACACACCATCTTTTTTTCCTTTCATTTTCTTTGAAAAAATAATCTTTTCAACTGGTAATCCACTTTCTCTGCAGTATTATATAGTTTTTCTAGCTGCCAATTTTATAACCAGCCTTGCTTACTACACTATCTTTTAAAACTGTTTTGAAGACGCCACTGACTTCTTCCGGAGTTGCATGTCTATTGTTCTTTTCTGCCCTACTCTCGCCCTTTGCGTGGTAGGTGACACATTTTGCAAATAGAATTACATCGCGTTTGTAGGTAATTCGGGAATTGGAAATTGCTGTAACTGTTTGACACTACCATAAGTCAACCTTGTTTGAAGGGTTTGTTACCATAATGAAATGGCGTACGTACATTTGTTTCACATGAGGTAGTGGAGTATTATTTAGGATCAAATAGACATATGATTATAAACATAAATGAAAGGAATTTTATAAATACAGTGTTTATTAATTGTATTTAGTAATCACGTGATTGTGCCAACAGCTGCAGCGACATGTTTACTTCGCTGGTTCCCGGCGTCCCTTGCGAATGACAAGTAGGACACAGGTAACCAGTAATCGCCATATTGTTCCACTGGGCCGCAATTCCGGCCGAAAGTCACGTGTCTGTGTGACGTATTTAAAAACTTTCTAATTTTCGTTTTCTGGAAATAAGTCTTCATTACGCCATGCCCATACATTCTGCCTGCTTAGACCTACATATTTGAGATGTTTCTGGCGTTTACCTCTGTTTCTGAGCAAAAAGAAACAGTTTTATATTCGCCCAAAAGGAAACACCTGCGTAGGGCCACGAGCGTAAGTGCTGACGTCAGGTAACCAAGGGAAATAGAGTAAGCAACGAGAAAGTGACGGACCAATCAGAATGCTGGAACCGTTACTTGTTACCGGCCTCTTGTGGCTTGATACGTCATGACATTTGAGGCGGAAACCAGCCAACATGTTTATCGAGACGCATGGAGCAGGGCGCAACAGCCACTGGTGGCGCTGTATACAATTAAAACCAATTTAGGTTTGCTTACGCTCACGCCGGCGTTTCATAATAAATGTATTCTATTAACAATTGCACTTTTAAATAATATTCATGAGATATGTCTACGTCATAACTTTACTACAGTTATTAGCATATTGTATAAGAAGTGCGCATGCTTCGGTCCCTTTTTCCGTATTCCACAACACAATCTAACAAGCCACTGCAGCCCGGCAACTGTTCAGATAGCAAAAGATTTGGACATACTCCCACCATGTCATACACTGTAATGTTCAATTACAATTATGGTTCCTTCATAATTCTGGATCTGCCACGTATTGCAGAGTTTGTAAGTTTTTGTAAGAGTAGCAGTGAAGGGTACAACGAAGGGGTCAACTCGCCACGCTGACTGTTTGGATGAATAAAGCTCGTACCTCCAAAGAGTCATCAGCCACGCTCGCTGAAGCTCTCTAACACACTACGCTAGTTCGTAACTGAATTCGCACACACTCAAATTGTGTTTCAGTTCCCAGTGGTTGAATCGTATCAACAATTCCTTGCAGTGGTCATGTCCATTCTAGTAGCCGCCACTGTCGACCGGGAATTTCTGCTTTTCATTTTGTGGCACATTGTTTCCAAACACAGTGAAGCTCTGAACCATAGCGTTTACGTGCCATAGAATGAAAATGCATGCTTTTATGACAAGTACTGTGTCAAATCCAGGGTTCCCGAGTACCGAAAAGGTCACCATTCACCACAGTCAACGTACTTGCTCCAGTGTACTCAGTAAGTCGATGCACGTTTACACTTATTGCATCGGTGATCAGTTTTCTTGTTGTCCCTTTGGTACACTGACCCGGCTCTGATCAGCCTTGAACCATACATCATTTAATGAAAGCATTGCCTTATTTGGTAGGATGCACCCTACTTATGGTGAAGGCTCACATTCATGCCTTAGATTTAGATTTTGGTGACTCCTTCAAATATTAGTTCCAATTTAGTCAAACGATCAGTTCTCGTTGCTTATCAACAGCCCCACGCACGTCACCCCGCCGTCAATATGGCTAGCAATGCCAGATAAGGATACGCTCTTTAGCATTTTTAGCGTGTTTTGTTTTTGTTCAGCCGCGATACTTTAGAGCCGGCTTCACGGTGTGTCGCAGCGTTCGTTTGTATCGACAACTAATTTACTGCATTATGTATTTTTTTCGACTGTAAAGGCCCGAGTATGTAAACAAACGTAGTTCGACACGGCATGAGCTCTTTGGTACGTGGAAATGTCCTACTAACACTAGACTCGATTCCATCCTACATTGCGACATTATCTACCTAGCTGTCTACTAATTATTGAACCGTAGGTCAATGATATCTTTGTATCCAGGTATATATCCATGTCAGACGGATAACCTGATTATTTTCTACTCGTACTGTACTGGACATCAAGTCAGATTTTCACAGCAACATCAACATGTCTTTAGCCACTACCGCTGCTGCCATTAATTCAAGATTTGTTGAGCTATACAAGGCTGGTGATATGAAAACCTTAGCGACGGAGCTGTACCATGAGGACTGTAAACTCCTGCTGAGCGGTGTTGAACCATTATTCGGTCGGAAAGGTGCGTACCGTTATCAGTAACAAACACATGACAAACTATGCACTTGTGGGCGAGTCAAACTTCAAATTCCAGCAGACAATATGCAACGGATTCATGCATATAGCATTTCGTTCCATTTTTATAGTAGGTCAATTAATGTACATGATGTAAAAAGTTGGTCGAGTTTTTGTCGTCCTCGTCGTTAAATGTGTGTTGTCGATGGGAGTTGCTAAAACAAGTGACAGCTTTACAGCGTATGTGCATATGTACGTGGTCAATAACAGGTAACACGTTCTATCACATGCAAATTCAATAATACACAACTTCAGCCTTATATTGGTTTATGACTGTTTTTACTAGCAAAATGGCAATCATTACTGACGGAATGACAGCATTTACTAACTGACGACTGTCCTTGCTAACAGAATTACATCCTTTACAACCGAACGAACGTTAATATGCTAGGTACAAATACAATTTGAATTTGGAAGAAACGAACAACAGCAAACAAACATCAATTTTAGCAGCAATCGTCATTTCGTTTTCCACAGCATTCACCGACTAGCTGAGATTGTTCCATATTTCCTTGCTGACGTGGTCTGGTAAATTCGGAATGCAGTCAAGACAAAACCAATCAAAAAATGTAAATGAAATCGTTATTTTTTGCGCGTGAAAATGAACGGACGGACGAAATCAAAACCACATTTTTCTATTTCGGTCACGTCCGATCAGGACAAACAGGGGCGTGGTTGTGTTTATATTGGCAAGAGCTAGAACACTTAAAAAGTATATATGTGTTATACGTTACGTAATATGTCTTATTTTCGATTCTTATATAATAACCGTTATTTCTTTTATGTAAAACTGCTCAATTACATAGTCAGGTGAACTATATGCACGATTTTTCAGCCAAATTGTTGGTGCAAAATTTGCATATATTGATGTACTTGGTGATAATATTGGAAAAAACACCGACTCAAGTTCCTAATCAAAATGTCGGGAAAATATACAATGCCAGTGATTAGTGTTTTCTGTTACGATTGTTGATATATGTATTTTATTGTGTGAATAATGAATGAGAATATCCGATGTGCAATATTAAACACCAATTATTGAAATTTGTATAATTTATTTGAAATCAAATTTGAAATTTAGAAACGAGAGCAGAAACTGATGGTTAAGTATGAGACGTGTTTTTTTTTAGCGTTTTTTCGATCTGGAATTCAAATATTACATATAATAACAAAATATACTGAAATATAATAACAAAACATCGTGAAAATTGAAATCCACTATAGTTTCTGTCCAGTTAATATAATTAAACTGAAATTCTAGTTTAAGCCTTATTTTTTATATTATTTTCTATGTGAGATTTCATTTTTGATGGTAGTTTTGTAGAGTTTTAGGAATCGCAAACACAAAATAACCAATATTTATGTAATAAAAAAATAACACACAATTTAAAAATAATACAACTAAATATTAAAGATGAAACACTAGTGTACAATACATATTTGATTGGTCTCAAGTGTTATCTTATGTGTATTTTAGTGTATAAATGGATCAAATATAAAAACAATGTTGCTATATGCCTCAAAAAAGGACACTAAATTGCAGAAGAACATCGCCAATAAACACTAAAATCAAAATAGATGATAGCAATGGTAGGCAGAGAAATCCATACTTCATGTGGCGTTGATGGCGGTGTTCCCTTCTTCTATATAAAACACCAGCGTTTATGACGGTAGTCGATCATTAACATGAATAGCTCCACCTCCAACTTTGTCTCGTCTGTATGTGATTTGTTACTTCTTTTTTATGGCTTTATTTGACTAATTGTGATAATTATTCTATTAATTTCAATTTTAATGTATTTGTTAAGCTTAAAAATACATTTATTCCGAAAATCACAATTGATGTTACTTCATTTACATTTGTAGGTGTGGAAGAAGGACTGAACGCACTGAAGAAATCGGGTGTAGCGGAAATAAAGATCGCTTCAGAAGAAATTGATGGGTTCGAGACTGACACAGCTTACGATCGTGGAAATTGCATTTTTTTTAACGATGATGGTATCCAGTTGGAAGTTGGCAAATATCTAGCGATCTATAAGAAAGTGCATGGGAAATATCTTATGTGTATCGATATCGCCAACAGCAACATTTGAGTGTTAATTGGAAATCAAGTCAAAGAGAGTGGCGTCTACTGAATTCACAGTAAAATAAACCTCCTTTAATTAAACTGCTTTGTGTTAATTTCAGTCCTTGATTCCAATGTACACGTAGGCAGTTTTCGTGGTTGCCTTCGTGTATTTGCATTCTTCCAGGATCAAAACTAGATTGGTCCTTATTCTTACCTGGTGGTTCAAGAGCAAATGAGATCGGCTCTTATTTCCTGCTGTCAGAAAAGAATTTTTATCATAATTTGGCTTGATGCATTAATCAATATTTTAATTACATGCAACACACAAGTGTATTAATGTAAGATTAGAAAACTATGAGGAGCACTTAGGGTTAAGGTTATTCCTGATGGGAGATATGTATAAGTTTGAAACATCGCAAAAAAAATAATTGTAAAAACTATTTAAAAAAAAAATCAACGCAGTATTGGTGACCCACATTTCAAACTGAATTATTTGAATCGTGATTTGTAATTCGTGATCTAACCCGTCGATAAACGAGCGATTATTCAAAGTCTAATTGCGATATAGGAGATTCAGGAAGGAAGAAGGACTGATACACATAACTAGCGGACAATTCGTATCGGCGGCCGGGGGGGGGATACATAGAATTTGCCTAACAGAGACGTGCCAATGAAATGGGTCTCGTTTTTAGGATTTTAGGTATAAGTATCAGTCTTATTTCTGGTCAAGATAGTTATAAATATCTATACTATTTTCCCGATCCCCAGTTTCTGATAGCGGACCCCAAGGAGATCAAAGAGAAAGCAAACTGTTCTTTCTCATTTAACAACCTACATAACCTGAACATGGTGTTAGTAATATGCTCTTATGTAAGTGACAGAAGTGCTTCTATGGTCAAAATACATATTTTAATAAATCAATATACAATGCAACTGTTGGCTTACATGTACTTCTATTAGAGATGCTCTTCTAATAGAGCAAATACAGTAACTTTTTAAACAGTAATGACAGAAATGATAATTTGGTATAAATATGGGTATATATTTTGCCACTATCCAGGTATAAAAATTGTCACACTTTTGAGCACTCTGGGGCACCTCCTTACAAAGCTATGTATCAACTGCCCCCGGGATCAGCGGTAGCAAGTGATTCAGCAAGACTGAACATTGCACAGATAAACGGAATGTATTCAGACAATCTGCATTTATGATGGGAACTGCAAACATTTTCTGTAAATATTTATTATTCCGAATTGTTGTGCTGGTTATTTAGCAATAGCAAATTTATCACAAGTTAAGATTTCTGCATTGTTTCCCACTGTTTAAGATTACTGCGTAGATGTAAATACCCTTAAACAGTTGCTTCAAAATCAATACTCAACTTACCCATGTTTTTTTTATTTGGTTGTCTAACAACAATCAAATAACCACAGTAATTACTGGCTCACAAACTATCTCCTCTAAATATACCCTCAGTATAACTCTTCCCAAACGGTAGCATAATGTCGATAGATACATGCAACACAATTTCACGATTTTGAATTTTGTTTTACTTCTGAAATGACAAGTATTATATTTCTCAGATAACTTTAATTACACCCACCGGTTTCAACCAATACAATTAAAAGATAACAGTGGGTCATTTTACTAATCATCCTACCTCTGATCGTGTATGCATTTTATTTTCAACACACTCACCCATCTATATATGGTAGACGTGGTTTGCCGGTCGAAGCCAGGATAAAGCACATTACACATTCAAAAAAAATAATAAGAAAATGGTTTTAATATTACATATCCATATGACAATCCATATGCTAGCCCATAAAAAGAAAGACTTATCTGATCAGTTTAGAGAAAAGTGGTAATAAATAGTCAGTGTCAGTGATGATAACATGATGAAAGTCAAACCCATGGTGTATACACCATATTTCTCCCACACAATGGAGATGCTGAGAAGGCTAGCTGCGCACAGTTGAGTAAAGTTAATGTAGTAAATTCAAGTCTGGAGTTCAATGCGGTAGCAGACTACAAATAATCGAGCAGAGACACAAAGGTACTGGCATAGATAGGAATAGGTTGCCTACATAGAGTACGCTCCATCATTGGATACAGAGTAATTTGTAACACATATAATTTGTAGTCTTTCCAGCTATTGTTGACTGTATGTAGCAGTACATTGTACAGTGTCATCTTGCAGGAGCATTATACTTAAACTGTTGAAGGTTTTTCCGAAGACTGACTAAATATTATATTTAAAGCTGTTGGTCAATGTCTTTGGTAAAGATGGGCAGTATTTTTACTGTATAGGGGATTGCCCTTGAGAGCTCGTCATCAAGTTGTGATATAGACTTACAGTTGTTACCTAGATAGTTGACAGTTTCCACGGCTAAAGTTGGACCAAATCCTCAATAACAAGTTGTCTACAAGATCCATTGCGTGTTTCACATATCCATCTGGTGAAATATGTCCAAAACGAAATCATACTGTGCACAGGTACTTCTGTTGAACAGCACTGAACAGAGACAGAATTGATGGGAGAACGAGGGTGGGGGATATGCTATGAAATAATTGAATACCAAGCTCCGATATTGAGAATTTGGTAGCAGCCGATATTTCGTCACTGTGAATTTGTTGTAGATTAGAAGGGACGCTGTGTCACAGTCCAGTGGAATTTAAAAGGTTGTTCATTATCGGTCTGTGTCGACCATGAGCAGTGTTGGCACTTTGTGGCCCGACTCCATTGAATTAACATTGTTCCTTTGACTATGATGCATAATTATTATTATTAATCCTTTCAGGCCAAAAGAGTCCCGTATTAAATACATTACAAACACCAACACTAATAAATACAACGTCTAAAATAAGTCCAAAATTTGGATAAGAAAAACTGTTAGAATTGACACAAGAACGAATTAAAGCATTATCACTCTTAAGTAGGCGTTGGATGAAGTTATATAATTCCATGCGCTGAAGAGATTCAAAACATTTCTATTCGTCCGTTTAAGGCAGTAGATCAATCTTATAGCGTTATTATAAGCCACTCGCACAGTATTCACAATTTGTGTAGGATAATCACACCAAACATTCAAACAATATATACTGTATAAATACGTTCTAAATAACTTACACTTAACGTAATTTGAACTTTTTATAAATTGTTGTAAAATAAAAATTTGCCCTAGCATAAATAGACCAAAATTGTCGCTTAATATCAGCTTCATTCTTGCCATCTGATGACACCATATAGCCCAGGTACTTTTACACTGAGACGGATATGAGAGGTTTACCATACAAGTACACGCTTGGGACCCTTGTCTGTCCCCACGTTTTTGGAAAGAATGACAAGCATAATGTTTGTCTCGGCTAGAGCTCTAAGTAAGCACTCTAATAATTAAACTATTGGTCATATGACGTGAATTTATCTACGCGACCTCTGTGACCGGGTGACACGGTCTGAGCTCTTTAGTGTGTGGAAATACGATCCCATCATACATTGCGACATTATCTACCCCGCCGTCTACCAATTAATGAACCGTAGGTCAATGATCTCTTTGTATCAAGCTATATATTCCTGTCAGACGGATAATCTCACTACCCTCAACGTGTACAGTCCTGGACGGCAAATCGGATTATTACAGTGTGACGCATTTTGTGTAATTTGATATTTATAGACGTGTGTATTTTTTGTATGCCAATAGATAATGATCGAATTTACTGGAGCTTAAGGAGTCTTTGTCCACTATAAATGTAGGTCACAGGTCAATTTCAATTAGTCGTCTATTATCAGAGTCTGGACACATGGCTAATCACCAACACCTTGCCACGTGGAGGCATGCAGTTGCTTCGTTACGAGTTTTCAAAGACAGATTGTTTCACGTCAAGCCGAATTGAAGACAATGTACAGTTTCACTATGTCATTCCATGGACGTTTGTAAGAACTGCATCCTCTCTCTCTCAGCAAGATTTACAAGAACTCACTGCCGTCCAGCAATCACGTCACAATTGTTCAAGCCGAAGCCAGCCAAAGATTAGGCCACGTGTTGTTTGCGTCGAAAAGATTGACTTTTGAAACTAAGTATTTTAGTGTCCATATCGTTCTATGACTCCAGGCGACTGTAAATGTATTTTCCTTGCGTTGTCTAATTTTGTGTGTCTTACCACACTGTTATTGTATTATGCTGAATTTGTGAATTTATTGTTCATTTGAATTAATGTCTTTTGATACCTCGTGAGCGCACTATATTTATTTACACGAATACAATAATAGAATTTGACAATATCCTGTGTTCGTGTCGTTTCTTGTTGCGAACCCCTTGTTTGGGTTAGGGTCAACGGAAAGATTCCAGTCTGTCCGTCATCCGACTTTAGACCCAAACTCGGTCGTAACATGCAGCAACAACTGCAACGATGTCCATATCCGAATTAAAATCGGCCGTTGCTGCCGCTCATGCAAGATTTACTGAACTATACATGGCGGGTGACATGAAAACCCTAGTGACGGAACTGTACCATGAGGGCTGTAAAATAATGATGAGCGGTCAGAAAAGTGTGTGCTGTTATCAGTAACAAACGCATGGCAAACAAATGCAATTGTTGGAGAGTCGAACTTCAAATTCTTCAGACATTATGCAACATAAGTATGTAGATTAGTTTTATTGTATTGTATTGTATTATTATACATTGTCACACGTAACGTAATAATACCGTAATTGGTATAGTACATGTGTGATGGTTCAAATACCAAAATGGCAACAGTAACAGAAAGACTTCCCTGGCGGCGATGATAAAATACGAACACGGAGCCAACAGACGAAGTTTCAACTGGTACTGGTATTATTATACTCTGCAAACATCAAGTACAATAACTCCACTACTCCAATAACTAGATACTTAAACTCCAATACAATTCAACGAGATCTCCGATCTGATCTCAGTGCTGAACAACTCCCCTATATATACCCACACTGTCTATAAATAAGCAGCATTTATTTATAAACGGTCTATAAATAGACCATTACATCAGCATACATAATGAGTCTGGAACTTACTACAAATTTCTAGAATGTTCCATTACCTTCTATTGCCTATTCAACCCG